TATATATATATATATAGAAGAGAGAAGAGGAGGTTGACCAAGGGCATAATAGTCATTTTAAATATATTAGTGCATTGTTTGTTTATATATTAGGCTCAAAGGTTTAGTTGTGGGTTCTTAATAACATGAAAACCCAAAACTAACTTGCCCATATGTTATTAAATTCTTTAGATGGACCCCACTTTCCATTCAACCTTCACAATATTCATTAAATGCATTACNGCGACTCCCAGCTTGCCCAGCTCCTTCCGCTTCTGCGATCTCTTCTCCGCATCTGCAGCTTCGCAGGTGCGAATATTCCTCGCACCCTGCTCTCCCCTGGCCTCCTCCATGAAATTCGCACCTGCAATGGCCCCTGCGCACCTGCGTGACCGCACCTGCAGCCACTCCTTCCGCAGGTGCATTGACACCAGTTTTCAGCAATAGCAGCATCTCTTCAAATCCAAATTTCAATCCGCTTTCAATCTGTTTCAAGCCCGAGGCCTCCGGGACCCCATTCAAACATACCAACACATCACAAAATATGATACGAAATTAGTTTAGGCCTCGAATCACGTCAAACAATATCAAAACTACGAATCGATGATCGAAACCTTTCCATGAACTTTCAAATATTCAAACTTCGATGAACGCGTCTGATTCATACTTATAGCCTGTTTGGCCAAGCTTCTTTTTGGCCAAAAGTACTTTTTTTTGGCCAAAAGCACTTTTGGCCAAAAATTGAGGTGTTTGGCCAAGCTTTTGGAAGGAAAAAAAAGTGCTTTTGAGGAGAAGCAGAGCAGTTTTGGAGAAGCAGAAAAAAGTAGCTTCTCTCCAAAAGCACTTTTTTGAGAAGCACTTTTGAGAAAAATACACTTAGAAGCAGTTTTTTAAAGCTTAGCCAAACACTAATATCCTGTTTGGCCAAGATTCTTNAATTAACAATAGACCAAGAAATATTAATAGCCTGTTTGGCCAAGCTTCTTTTTGGCCAAAAGTACTTTTTTTTGGCCAAAAGAACTTTTGGCCAAAAATTGAGGTGTTTGGCCAAACTTTTGGAAGGAAAAAAAGTGCTTTTGAGGAGAAGCAGAAGCAGTTTTGGAGAAGCANATGATAGAAATTAAATAGCTATCTTAGCTAGCAGAAATGAATATGTTGATCAACTAAATAAAAGGTTGATCACTAAGTTTTATGGTAAAAATAAAATATTTTTCAGTTTTTACTCAGCAGAAGATGATACCAACAATTACAACCAAGAAGAATACTTAAATACTTTAATACCAAATGGTCTTTTACCGTTACTATTGTTTGTTGTCAAGTTTATTATTTCTTATGTATGTTAGTGTCACCATATATATAATAGACTAATAGCCTGTTTGGCCAAGCTTTTTTTGGCCAAAAGTGCTTTTTTTTTTTAGCCAAAAGCACTTTTGGCCAAAAAATTGAGGTGTTTGGCCAAGCTTTTGGAAAGAAAAAGTGTGCTTTTCAGGTAGAAGCAGAAGCAGTTTTGGAGAAGCAGAAAAAGTAGCTTCTCTCCAAAATCACTTTTTTGAGAAGCACTTTTGAGAAAAATGCACTTAGAAGCAGTTTTTTAAAGCTTGGCCAAACACTAATTGTTGCTCAGAAGTGCTTTTCAAACTAATTAGCCAAACACAAACTGCTTCTCACCAAAACTACTTTTGAGAAAAACACTTTTGAAAAAAAGCACTTCTCAAAATAAGCTGATTTTTGCAGCTTGGCCAAACGGGCTAATTGCTGCTCAGAAGTGCTTTTCAAACTAATTAGCCAAACACAAACTGCTTCTCACCAAAAGTACTTTTGAAAAAAAGCACTTCTCAAAATAAGCTGATTTTTGCAGCTTGGCCAAAACGGGCTATAAAAAGGATGAAAACAAGAAGAAAGAAAAAAAACAATAATTGCGCCCGTGCATCGCACGGGTACATCATCTAGTATATATATCAAGTTTGGCTCACTTATGGTTTGGTCTAGGCATTTAAAATTCATTCAAGTCATGTGATGATCGAGAGTCTTATAAATTTTATTTTTATAACTAGATGAGGAAAGGCCCGTATACGGGCCCAACATGTAATTTTATCAAAATTATTATTTGTTGGTATTTAGTTAATTAACTTTTGAGGTTTAACAATCTATATATTTTAAAATTACTTTTGAATATAAAAATATTTAGTTTGAAATCGTCTTCAAATAATATGGTAGATGAAAATTATTTAATTTTTATTTTGAAATTGCTTTAAGATAGTATGGGTAAATATGAATATCTTGTAAATATCGATACTTCCTTTTGTTGTTGTATTATTTAAAAATTAATTTTATTTTCTCTATGAAAATTTCTATTTGAATAAACAAAATTAATAATTTTCCAAAATGAGAAAAAGATTGGAAATGAGCATTTGCACGACACAAATAATCTAATCAATACATGTATAGTGCATTTAAAGGAGAGTCGTGGCTAGAGGAATATGGGATCCACGTGTATTTTGCATTTAAGAAATACAAACATGAAATTTTTATGAAATAACATATATGTCATTGGTCGACCAACTTCTTATTTCTATATAGTAGAAAATTTTTAACTAGGGATATGTTTAGTCAAATTACTTATTTTTTTAGGAGTTAATAAATTTTAAGGGGTACGCAATTGGCTAAGTGGACACTTATTTTAAATGGGAGGGAGTATTAAGTAAGATACAAATACAATATGATTGGAGGTTGAATTGTACCGACAGGTAAAAATACAGAAAAAACCTGTTTACAGTAATTAATTTGCAGGACCCAATTAGTAGTTGCTTGCAAACTCCTCCTAATCCAGTGCATCCTCTTCGTCTTGAGGTCACTACTCATTCTGAACTTTGCTGGATCTCTTTGTTGTAAGTAATTGTTAAGGTAACAGTTTAAAAGGAGGAATTCGTAATCGTGTAGATAGGGCAAAGCAATCGCAAGGATTCATTTAATCAACCAAAATCAGATCGAACGGCGAAGCATTGTCGGCATATCGCTCTCTGTCCACAGATCTCTATCTTACTCCTTTTCACGACTTCAGCTCTTTCTCTTTGTTTCCGTTATTGGTAAGCATTCTCAGTTTTCATTTTCCTCCGCTATGTGTTTGTGTGTGTGAGAGAGAACATATAATGTATATTTTTCTCCACTTGCTAATCATTTTGTTCCTTCAGCTTTATAAAGTGTTACTATGCTTTTCGTTCTGCTGTTCCTTGCGTTATCAACTTATTTTTGTTGTTTCCTTTTTGTATTGTTATTATTTGTTGCTTTCTGACATGCTTAGTCTTGTCTGCCTGTCGTTCCTATATTCCTTTTCCTCCAGTTTTATTGCTACTGTTTTAACCTTTTTGAGTTGCTTATATGCTTTTGTTTCTGCATTGATTCAACGTTGAGAAAATCCGACTGTTGAGAAGTTGGACGCAAATTTCTTGCTTACTTCGTTACCAGATATTACAGGTTGTTAGAATTATGTTCAGTTCTGTTAGTTCTATAATTAGGTAAAAGTTAAGTTGCATAAATGTGAGTTTGCTAAAAATTTTCATAGCACATTCCTTTGGTGTTTTTTCCTTTAACTGCATGGTGCAGATTAGCTTTTTCAAATCACGCGTTGAGGCACTGTGCATAGTTATTTATAAATTGACTGCTAAAAGTTGGTTTTCCGGTGTGTCTAGTGGCAAGGTCTTTTGCCTTTTCTAGGAATTCCGTGTCGTTTTAAATTTATATTGTCATTGTTATTGCGCAGTTACATTCATCTTTTGTGATAGTCTATCTAATTCAATTTACCTGCTTGCTTTGACTTATCAGGTTGTTTTAATTGTTTCGCTGAAACAAATATTACTTGTGAACTAGTAAATTGATGTGTGACACATTTATCATACTTTTCCAGGTTTTACCAGTCCATGTTTCTATACCGGCATACACAGACACAAGGCTGGTGCATCCTAAATCATCTTTAAGGAATGAATGCAGCAGTTGAACTGAATTTTCACCTCCTATCTGCAAAAATCTCCTGGATCCGACTTGATTGATTTTTCTATTGGAGGGAAATTCTTTGTAATTTTTAGAGGCCGAGGCCATTTGGACTGCCAAGTGACTTACAATGATGATCAGCAAACAACTTTTATTGACATATTTTTATCTCCTTGTCTATATTTTGCTTTCATCAGGAGTTATTTTGTATAACAAGGTATGCACCTTTTTCCAAGTATTTCATGACTGTCTTCGACTTCATTGGACCCATGGATTATTCTGTCAGTTGGAATCTGTTTACAGCTATGACTTAAGTGCAATTGATCGATGGAAGAAACACAAAAGCGTTATATTTAAACTGTGATTCGGGCAACCTCTGAGAACATACACCTAATTGACAAACTGCTGTCATTATTACCACTAGATTCCAAGGAAAACTTAGTAGGGACATGTAATGGATCACTTACATTATTTGATTAGCAACCAAAAAAAAGTAAGAGAGTAAAACATTCAAAATATTTGCTGCTAGTCCAAAATCAACTTTTATATCCATTCAAAACTGAACAGAGAAGGGACACAGGTTTCTTTACTTTCCATCCAATTAAACCAAACAACATGAAGGGTAGAACAATTCTTTATGAGAGAACCAATGTTTTTCATTTGGGAAATATTTTGAGACCGCTGTCAGTGCAGACACGAGGCATTTAAGGAATCAGGAAGAAATAAACAAATGATGAGGGAGATATGAATCCAATGATGTGGACGCGAAGTAGTGTTGATCTAGATTTGGACCCATTTGGCATTAAAAGATACACAATTCTTCTTTTAACTGTTAGTATTTAATGCTTGTGTGTGAAGTATAAATTATGAAGCTATATTGATCCTCTAGAATAAGGAACGTGTTCAAGAATACCACTTTCTTGCTCCACTACGCCCTTGCTGCATAACATTGTCTTGACTTTTCCAACATCATGCATTAAGGGAGTGAGCACACAGCAGGGCACTTCTTATAAACATCATTTGTTCAAAACGCATCACAATGAGTGACTTGTATGTGTCTTCCCTTTTACTCCACCACCGTAGCTCAAAACAAAGTGGCATTGGTTTTTTTTTTTTTGGGGGGGGGGGGGGGTGTTCTGTTTTTTGTCAGTCTGTATTTGTTCATCATAAGTTAAGGGAGAAGTTTCTGTTCGATACAATTACTCAATGACGTAGGTGTAGATTCTTTTACTTTCCAATATATTCAGTGCCACCTCATGATTCTTCTTTTGTCTTTTGTTTTATGTCTTTTGCAGTGGGTACTTTCACCAAAATATTTCAATTTCCCATTTCCAATTACACTTACCATGATACATATGGGCTTTTCAGGCTTAGTAGCTTTCATTCTTATCCGTGTGTTCAAGGTATGACAATTACGAATTACTGAATTTTTCTTTCTTTGAGAAAAAATTACGAATTACTGAATTACAGTGACATTTTTCTAGTACTTTTTGTCATCTCTGCTCTTCTGGATAATGGCTTCTGGCTACTCTAGTTATTGATGACATTATTGTAGAACTGCTTGCTTTTCTGAGATAGTTATGCATTACATTTCAAACAGGTTGCTTTCTGTAGGTTTTAGTGTTATACGAGATTGAGATGATCTATGTGTTAAAAGGCCTAGGATTTTCTTCAGATTTTGTCACATACATATTTTGTTCCTATTTGTTGTTGTCGATATTATTGTGTATGTAAATGCACCACGACGATAGTGCTGCCTAAGTTCAGTTTATTCATTGGTTTCACATTCAACAATAAATCTATCTTGTCCCATCAAACTTCACCCATAGCGGCGCAAAATTCTCTCCCCCCTTGCTCTTATTTTTTCCACTTCTTCTTCAACTGTTTCTTGTCTTTCAACGACTGATATTTGTGTCGAGCAGTTATCAGATCGACGATCAAGGTTAAGCATTCCACCTATCTCTTTAAGGCGTTTGCATTGTCTTGCAAGGATAGAAGTGCCTTGCCTAGTACTTTCTGATTAGAAGGTTCTGAATTTTCATCGGCAGCTTGTTACAATACTTTGACTAGTAGAAAAAGGGTTTTCCATTGAAATATTTTTAGGGATCTGGAAGGGATAGGTATGTCTATGGCCTAGCAATTCTTTTACTCTTCTTTAGCAGTCTTGTAATTCTAACTCTTATACATGTTAGTTTTTAGCAAACAAAATTAAGCACCTCATATGTGATTAGAGTTTAGTGTTGTATGTTAATTTAAAATGTTAGATTCATATGAGAGCTTATTCGTTTATTTTGAGACTCACCCTTTATCACAATTCCTTGGGTTCTTTAATATTGTTGTTGATCAATCTTTGTGCGAAAACTTGCTAATTGAGAAATGTACTGTGCTGGTGAAACTTTTTCCACTTTTTCCACTTCCCTGGGGACTGAGGATAGTGGTTGTGGCCATGCAAATGAACTTCCTTGGAGAACTTGTTAAGTCTCTGTTTGTGTAAAAGGTTTTATGGGCGTTTGGTCGTCTTTAGCTTCTGAATTTGGTTTTTATTTTTACTTTGTCTATATTGGAAAATTAATTTACCATGCCTGATCTTAGTGCTTTGATTCTCGTATTACGGGTCACCTAGCTTTCCCTCTTAATTCCTGATTATCTTTTGCAGGTTGTAGCACCTGTCAAGATGACTCTTGAAATGTGAGATTTGCAGATTTGAACTGCTTTCCCTTTGAAACTTATCTTTATTCTCATTCTCCGTTTATTACTGAATTTGCAGATATGCAACGTGTGTTATTCCAATCAGCGCTTTCTTCGCTGCAAGTCTTTGGTGAGCTCTCTACTTTGAGGAGCAAAAATATTTATTAGTTTCTTTAATGGATTCTGTCATTCATGATCCTTTGTGACTTGTTGGTACTTATTCTTTTGAAATTGGAGCCTGTTAGACGTACTCCTTTATATTTTTTCTGTATATTGATCTAGAGCTTAATACAATGTACTAGCTAACAGTGTTCTGTCATAATATTTGACACTGTTGACCATTGATCTTCCATACGGAGATGAAGCATTATTTTACCTTGGGTTGGTTGGGTGGAAACGGAGGTCTAGAAGAATCTGAATAAATTGAAGATTTCCCTTAAGTATGAAAGCTTCCATATCTGCAGGTCCATCCTCTACATGGCTGATCAGTTTCTCTCATTGTCTTATCAAACCTGAAATTGACGTTTCATTACCTTTAGACAATGATTGAGCTTCCATTTCATATTTCCCACAAAACAAGAACAATGGGCACATGCAAGAGAAGATGTTCTACATTAAAAGTAGTGAGATTTTGAATGTTTGACTTGAAGTTGATAAGCTACTTTACCTGCCGAGCATGACCTAGAAGTAAATATGAGACTTGCAGTCTACTGGCTTTCTCCTGGATGCTTTCATTATTAATAATTCACGGTTATAAATAGAATCTATGTTGCGCGGACTCTCCAAAATGATGCCGCACCCGTGTCAGATCCTCCAAAAATACACTATATTTGGAGGATCCAACACGCACCCGGTAACATTTTCGGAGAGTCCGAGCAACATAGAATAGAATAGGACTGAATCTGCTCAATTGTTATCAATACAAATGTAATGGTTCTACTCCCACTTGTTATTGTTTAATTTTCTCTTTTGCTGATGACAGAGAAGTCCTTGTTTTTTTGGTATCCTTTTAGCTCTTTTTTAAAACTATTTTCAGAAATGTTGGCATTTCATATTTCAGGTTAATGTGAATAGTGAGTGAGAGTCGATTTTCAGACTTTAGAGTTATCCTACACCTTTTTACTTGTTTATGTTGGTGGATGGATTCTTTAGCTTTTCCTGGTCCTTTGTTGGACACTTTTTGTATCTGTACTTTAGTAAAGG